CTATTTTGATAACATTTTAGTAAATAAAAATGCTTCAGTCTAAAATGAAATAAAATGAAGCTTTTGAATATTTTATCCTACCTCTTGAAGTAAATTAGATTCTCCATAATCATTTTCAGGATCAGGAATATCACATTTTCTGATATCTGATAATTTTCTACCATAGTTGTTTATGTGTATTGTTTACCCAACAGACATTTCTCTTTCACTTGGATATTCATTACTAAATAATTCTGTGAGAAGACACAGGCCATTGATTTTTTGCAATTTGCATCACTACATTCTAAGTTATGTTGAAAGCTAAGCTTTTTGGTCCTCTTGCTTTGGAAATACATTAATATTTCTGTGACCTTTACTAGATGGCAGATGAGAATCATTAGGAATAAAATAACAGACACCAAAAGAAACCAATATTTTAAAATGCATATTTCTGGTGCTGGCCTTGAAAGGAGCAAGAAGGAGGAGAATCTACTACGACAAGTCTGTAAACTTTATGTAAATAAATTGTTTTGCTGTAGCCTACAGTTTTTTCCATGTCAGAATGTTTTATTTTTACACATACTATGCAAAATAACAGCAAATATATTTTAGTTTTTTTATACATGTGCATTTTTCAAAACACAGATGGACTTGTTTAAGGTATTTAAGAAAGTATAGAATGGAGTAGTTGAAGACATGCTTATTCACCATACATATTTAGGTTGCTATATTAAAAGCATGTTCACAGTGTCATGACAATTATTTTATACCAAGTGACATTAGGTTAATTCATTTCCAAAGCCTGCAGGTTAAATAGCAATGATGTCTCTATAGTTTATGAGTGAGTGATATTTCTTTTTGTGCCCTAAATGTTCAGCTTTAAATTCTTATTTTTAAAAGAAAAACAACCAATTTCTACCCAGGAAACTGTTTCTATCTCAACAGTATTGTTTTGCAGTGGTTTAACTGCACACCGGAAGCCAACTCTGTTCCTGTTCATCTAGGTACCTATGCCATAGCAAAACAGGGCAGGTCCAGGAATGATTCATTAGCGACTTATATATGCGCTGCTTTATAAGTGGCAGATACATATTAAGGCTCTGATTCAGCAAGGTGCTTAAGCGTGTGCACAGCTTGTATTGCCAGTTAGATGAAGATAAGGGAAGGAGTCATTTGGATGTACACATTTTTGCTCTGCCTTCTTTGAAACCCAAAAGATGAAGGGTTCCGTCGGTAATGCATGTCTCGTAGAAAGTGAAAGTGACTTGAAACTAATATTAATAGCATTTCATTGGCCCTCTTTTCTCACCATTTGCTTTTTCATTTTTCTCAGTTTGGTCTAACAGCATTAACAATTAAATGTAAACCAACCTTTTAGATTTTTTTTATTATGTTTGGTTATCATTTATTATGTTTGCATATCATTCTTTTATATCATTCTAATATAAAAGGACATTCATTTTGTTATTTTAAACATATGGAGATCCTGAATCTCAGCAGGTGTAAATTGCCAGAGTTTCATTAAAGTAATTTAACATTGTTTCTTTTCATTGACATCAAAGGGAGTTAGACTAATTTACACCATCTAGAACATCGTCCACATTTTTTAACTTGACAACTGTCTCTTTAAACCATTGTACTTTCTATGTGTGTCTATCATGTATACTATAATCTAAGAGAGAGGAGCGGAACTCCTAATTTGAACCCACTTGAACTTTGGAGAAGTTTGGATTTTTCTTTGGAATGTGTGGGTCTGACCCATCTCCAGTTTAAAATGTGATCACTGTTTGTTTCAGTGGGATTCAGACTTTTAAAAGTTGGGCCCTGATCCTGCAATGCCATTCCACCCAATGGGACATTACACAGGCTCAGGGGAGGACCAGGGTCCTAGAAGATTAAATTTGACATTCCTGAGGTGCTTTCTGCATCCACCTACCCCCCAAAAAAATGCTGCACACAAATTATGCACACAATATTTTAAAATTCTGCTAATTTTATTTGTCACTGAATGTGGAGGCTCCGGCATGGCACTGAGGAGTACAGGCCTCTGGCCGCACAGAGTGGGAGATCATTCTGCCACTCCTCCCTGGTATGGAGACTCAGTGGTGAGACTGCACCTAGTCGTAACACAGTGCAAGGACCAGGCCTGCCCCCAAAATCCCCAGGGCCCTGTCCCTCTATGCCATGTGTACCAGGTGTGGAGAGGGGGTTAGTATGGTGGGAGCTACATGTGAGTGGAGAGTGTTCTGTGTGGGACAATTTGGGTGTGGGAAGCTCAGTGGGGAATCTGGATGCACTGGGGTTTGTTGAGGGGGACTGTCTGGATGCAATGGTAATGGGACTCTGCAGGCGGGTCCAGGTGAAGCTCAGCAGGGGTGGGGATCTGGGAGCGGGGATAGGATAGAGTTCAATAGGGAGATGGATTCAGGTACAGTTGATTGGGGCTCAGTGAGGTGGGGAACTGGGTGTGGATGACTCCTCAGGGTGCTCCAGGTGCAGGCCTAGAATTCAGCAGGGTTGGTTCTGCGTGCAGGGGTGAGCTCAGCAGGAGGCTTAGGGTACGAGGGGGTACGAGCATGAGGGTTAGGTGGATAGGGGAGCACTCCCTTTAGTGATCCCTCCCCCTTGCTGCTGAGGAGCGATGGGTGCAGGAAGCAGGGGAGGGGGAGTTTGAAGAGTTTCTTGCAGCCTGGGGGAGAAATCTGTGAGTGGATCAGACCCGGCCCTGGATGCTGTGCAGAGGAAGAAGAACTCCCATCCTCCTCCAGCACCAGCTAGGACTAGCAGCTGAGCCTGGAGCAGGGAATGAGCCACTCAATGGGTCTGCCCCAGTCCCACCAACTTCCTTACAGTGATTTACCTCTGTGTCAGCTGCTCTTGGCCCCAAAACCTACTGTTGGGGAGGGTCGCATGACCGTTCTTGTGGCTTCTCTTTGCTTCCCATTGAGAAAATCAATTTTTTGTGGGGAAGGAAATAAATCTGAGGGGGACATGAATTCTGTGCCTGTGCAATGGCACACAATTCCCTCAGGAATTAATGTGAACACTTCTCCTTCTCATGTATATTGATAGCGTAGCATTTGGAGCTGACAACAAACTTTCAAGTGCCTTTGTATAGTACATATTACATATTCATTCAATAAAACATAAAGGATGAAATTTGTAAGAGTCTCTGTAATTATGTAGGAAAAAGACATATACTCATCGGCTACGTCTAAACTGGCATGATTTTCCAAAAATGCTTTTAAGGGAAAAGTTTTCCGTTAAAAGCATTTTCGGAAAAGCACGTCTAGATTGGCAGGATGCTTTTCCGCCAAAGCACTTTTTGCGGAAAAGCGTCCATGGCCAATCTAGATGCGGTTTTCCGCAAAAAAGCCCCGATCGCCTTTTTCACGATCGGGGCTTTTTTGCAGAAAACAGTGCTATGCTGTCTACACTGGCCCTTTTGCGCAAAAGTCTTTTGGAAAAAGACTTTTGCCCGAACAGGAGAAGCATAGTTTTTCCGGAAAAGCACTGATGATCTTATATGAGATCGTCAGTGCTTTTCTGGAAATTCAAGCGGCCAGTGTAGACAGCTGGCAAGTTTTTCCGCAAAAGCAGATGATTTTGCGGAAAAACTTGCCAGTCTAGACACAGCCATCTAGTTTTGAAAATTCCACATGTACTGGCATACCAAGTAACTGTACATTTAAATATGCATCTGGGTATCCACTTCCCTGATGTGCAAATTAAAATTTCTGTTTAGTAGATTCAGAGACATGCGCACACTGACCAGGACAAACAAGGTGAATAATTGACAGACATGTTGCATGGGTTTAAGTAGCAGGTCACAACTTCATTCATTATACTTTGGGGAGAGCACTATATTGCCTGCCCCCGTTCTCACATACCAGACATGTAATTGGTCGCACACTGGGTTACAGGGCTTTAAGCACAAACCAAACAATAACTTTAAACCTTGGGTCTCGTTTAGTTCTGGGATCTGGCCCTTTTATCCTTTACTCACACTGAAGGTTGTGACAAGTTAGTAATCATAACAACATTATATGAACTGCAAATCCTATTGTTTTTAAGCCAACTGTGCTGATGAGAGGCTGTGAGGAAGGTGAGAACACCCACCAAACTACATGCCAATAAAGGAAGCTAGTATGATCCAGTAGTGAGGATGCAGGTCAGGGAGTCAGGAGGTCTGGGTTCTTTTCTTATCTTTGCCACTATCTTGCTGTGTGACATTGGGCATAACTTCTATATATTACAGTTTCTCTGGAGGTGGGGGGGGGGGGGTCCTCTCCCACCCTTGATCAGGCCTGGACTCTGTACACCACTATGCAGTATATAAGAGCCACAGAAACCCCCTTAGCGGTCTGTGGGAGAATATTCTCACTGAAAATATGCTGCATACACAGGCCCCTCACAGACCCTGGTGCCAGTGGGATGGCTAGGGACTAGAGTGAGTGCGATGCATCTACTTGGCCATGGTGCCACCATATGGAATCCAAGATAGGCTGTTGTATCTAGCATACCATGGCCTAGGGATGTGAATGGTTAATTGGCTAACTGGAAAGCATCACCCCGTAAGGTGACATGTAACTGTTGGGGCCCACCACCAGCAAGGGGCACTCCAGCTTGGCCAGAGCAGCTTCTACCCACAGCAGACCTGGCCAGGTACACCATGAGCAGGGGTGCTCCAGTCCAGCAAGAGCTCGCCTCGTTGGGCCTGGCTTGGCATTCTGCGGGAGGGGGCAGTCCAGCCCAGATGGAGCAGCCCTGCCCATAATGGGGGGGAGGGGCAGCCCTTCCCGCTGGCACTCGTTTAATTGGCTACCAGTAAAACAGTTTAGTGGGTTAACTTAGGATTTTACATTCCTACTGCGCCAATGGGAGATGCGAGCAGCTGTGCCTACTGACATGCAGGTAAATAAAGTGTCTGGTGATGCACCAGACGCTAACACTGATGAACTGTGTCCATCATGCAGGAGGGTTGCTGCAAACCCTGGCCTATAATCTTACCTTATGTATGCTACCCACCCTTGTAAAGAATTTTAAGAGCTACTGATGAGAGGTATGCTGGATGACTACTTTTAATATGTTTTTTAAAAGTTATATATACAGGCTACACTGCATATTGAATACAGTATTTATGGCTAATTGTTCTATTGCACCAGTTTCTATAATAATACTGCAACTCAATACAATAACTATCTTTCAAGCAGAAGAGTCTTCCTACTTCTGAAATGATACAATAGCAAGTCATACATACTGAGTATAGAAAGACCACATAATAAAGACTAGCACATCCACCAGACACCCACTTCTGTATTTTTTTACTATGGTCCCATTTTTAAGGAGTATATACTCGACACATTTCCTTCTTTCCCACCATTGGTCATTGAGACTTGCAGTCAAACTGGTAGCCGGACTCATTTTTGTTAAACCTTAATTGTTTCTCTTTCTACCTTGTTGAAAGAATTTTGAGGATAAACTGGAGTAAGTATTTGAGACAAAGGGCCGTGGTGATTAAATCGAGAGGAGTATCCACACTTTGCTATGTATCTGCAAGTACAAAAAAAGAAAAGGTTTTTTAAAAATATTTTTTTCACATTTCTCAGAAACACATTCTTTGCTAACCGATGTGACCACTGACTTTGGGGGAAAATTATGCAATTCACAACAGTTCCACACTATTAGATTCAGCTGGCTCAACAATGGTGCCAAGAAATGCATCAAAACAGTCTTTGGTGGAACCCTCTCCCCACCCAGCCTAGGCAAAATGTTCCAGTGTATTCTGAGGTGTTATGGTGAGCCATCGAGTCAGATTATGACTTCAAGCACCCGGAAAGGAATTCCCTTGACACAGGAGAACTTCCTGATAGCATAAATCTAGCACAGGCAGTTCCTACACCACATGTTCCCAGCCCCTGGCATGTGGACCATTTAAGAACTCTATACCAGTGATGTAAGGTAGAAGAATTTCTATTGTAATCTTTATCAGGGCTAGAATTGGTGCAGAAAAGACATCCGATTCAAGGAGCTGTAACTTCCTGCCTCCCCCTGCTTCTCCTGCACGAAGTTCAAACTGGTAATAGGACAGAACTTGGCTTGTGATGGGAGCAATGGTTGAGGACTCAGGTTTTACTGAAAGTAAGTGCTATGAGTGCAAACTCATTTGCTTGTACTAAGAACACAAAGATTTGTTACTGCTTTCCCATATTTTGATTAGAAGAATTAATTTATGTTGCATTGTATATACTTAAGGGATACCACACATACACATGAGTGAGTCTAATTCTGCCTTTATTTACACTTATACAGCCCCACAGATTTCAATGGGTGGGTCACATGAGTATAAATCAGGGTAGAATGAGTCCAAATGTCTTAAATCCTACTTTACCTCTTTTGCATACACTTCCCCAAACAAATCCATTCTCCTTTTTAAAACTCCCTTTCTTTCTCTTACGAAGTGCCACAAGCTCAAAATCTTAGAAACAGCAAGCTGAAAGAAACCAATCCTTCTTTCCAAAAGCAATCAAATGCTATCTGCGCTCAATTACAAGTATACTACTTATTTAAACAAATTTGTGATAACCCTGAGTTGAAAAGATAAGAAGGCTTAATACCGTAAAACCTCACAGTTACAAACACCAGAGTTATGAACAGATCAGTCAACCACACATCTCATTTGGAACAGGAAGTATGCAATCAGGCAGCAGCAGAGGCCAAAAAACAAACAAACATAAACCAAACACAATATTGTATCATACTAAAAGTAAACTAGTAAAGAAATAAAAGGAAAAATTGTATAAAAAGATGTGACAAAGTAAGGAAACAGTTTCTGTGCTACCTTCCTTTAAAGTAAGATTGTTGAAAGCAGCAATTTTTTCTTCTGGATAGGAAAGTTTAAAGCTGCATAAAGTCAATATTCAGACATAAACTTTTGAAAGAAAAAACATAATGTTTTGTTCAGAATCACAAACATTTCAGAGTTATGAACTGCCTCCATTCCTGAGATATTAATAACTCTGTTGTAATGATAAGATCATGGTATTTGTACTACATTATGTAGTCTATAGATTTTTTTCTGATAAATGTCTGTGGATAGATATTTCAAACAGAGACCAAAATATAAAATGTTGCAAAACAAAAACATTCTACATCCTCTGTAACATACCCTTGTAGCTCATGTCTTGACAAAATATTTCTAAAGTGGTATTCAGCTCCCATATTTTAGTTATGTTAAAAGACTTTGAAATTATCTATCATTCAAAACCACAGTATCTGAGAACCACACTAACTAACTAATTAATTATTTATAAAAGAATAATATACATGCAGTCCCCGAGTTACGCGGATCCGACTTACGTCGGATCCGCAGTTACGAACGGGGCGTTCCTCTCCATGGTCTCCAGCAGACCAGGGAGAGGAAGCAAAGCGGCGGAACACGTGGGCAGCGGAC